GGGGGATCTCTTCCACCCTTGCACGGGGCTTCTCCTCACCCCACCGGTGGGCTGAGCCAACAGCCGGGCAGAAGCCGGCGCTGGGGGCGAGGGCAGCTCGCAGTGACCCCTTCCCGCAGCCACCCCTGCCGCCCCCGCCCCGGCCCCGCACTCACAGCCCCACCACCAGGCTGGCGCTCCGCAGCACGGCCAGACCGGCGGCGCCGTCCCGCCGCAGGTACCGCTCTCCCCGGCCGCAGACCAGCACCAGCTGCTGGGCGTTCTCCAGCAGCAGCCGCTGCCGCTCCCGGCCCGCCATGACCGCACGCATCGAGTGGCGGGGCCGCCGCTCGGCTCAAAGTCCCCCGGGGCGGGCGGGACAGAGCCCCTCCTGCCCCCCGCCCTGTCCCGCCTCGGGCCGCGCTCAGCCCGACCCCGGACCCGGCCTTGGCTCCGCCCGGCTTGGTCTGTCCTAACTTTGCAGCAGCCTGCTCCAGCGGAGGGATGCTTGCTCGATTCGGTCCGGGATAACGGGACAGCATCCGTGCATCGCTCTGGTTCACCATCAGCTCCGAAGCACCGGGTTTTCCAGCTGGGACCTCCCAGAGCTCTCAGTTCTCACAGTACCACCCGGAGATTACCCTTTGCCAAAAAAATAGGAGGTTCTGATTTGGGAGCGTTTGTTTGCCCACATGGTCTTTATCCGGACTCCAACATCTCACCAGCATCCATCACCTTTCCAGCGCCCACCACCTTGCCTGCATTCCAGCAACAGCTTCTGAGGGACCATAACACCTCCCCCGCACCAGATGTTCAGGCAGACATTAATTTATCCGGGCAGCTATTAATTTATCCGATTCCAAGATCGAAATTCTGCTGCCCCCTACAGAATCAGGGATGGAAGAGTCGTGGAGCAAATATTTACTCTCAACGTGGATTTTTTGTTTTCTTCTCTCTTCAAATATTCAGAGTCTATAGGGCTCCAGTAATTCCCAGCTGGCAAGTGGAGTGTCTTTCTAAACAAGTGGTCCCTCAAACACCTTTCTGGCAGTGGCAAGCTTGTTTAGAAACCTTCTTTTCTTCTAGAAAGAGGATCAATTTAAAATGCTTGTAACACATCCGTGTGCATATACATTTTCCCATCCAGCAGAAAAAGATGTATATGTTAGCTCTTTGAATGAACCTGTCTGGTGAAGTCTTGTTTCATATACATGGTGAAGTCTTGTTGCATATACATTTTCCCATCCAGCAGAAAAAGATGTATATGTTAGCTCTTTGAATGAACCTGTCTGGTGAAGTCTTGTTTGCAAATGAAGCAAAAAATGCAGCTAAAGTACAGTAATTTGTATTTAATATCAAAACTGAAAAGTGAGTAACACTACGTGTTGGGTGTTACCTTGTGATGCTTCTCCACCAGCTCAATACTGCACCACAACATAACCCTTGTCTTCCTCCTAAACTCTCACTGGGCATGCAGAAGATTGACGGGAGAGCTGGTAGAGAGTGCTTTACTGCTTTCAGGAGTTGCTGCTGATTTTCCCCAGCAGTTCCACAATATGTTTGAAAGCAGAAATTAAAGAGGAACCTTGCAAGAGCCAAGGGCAGATCCTAATTTAAATCCTTAGAATAGGTGAAGATTTTATGCTTAGTGACATAGGAGCATATTTGATTTTAAGACTTACATTCTGCTTGCAGAAAACTTACAGCCATGCTTGTGTATGGCCTGGTTCTTTTCTGGTGAAGATTTTTCTCTGCAATAGGTCAATCTATGAAGAAAAAGGTTAATCCACTGCAATCAGTGGTTTCTGACATGCTGTGCCTGATCTATTTTTAAGAATATTGCTCAGAGAAGTTAGTACAGGAGCAGTTTCTAGGTTGCATCCTCAGGAAATTCTAGTTTTATTCAAGAGGTAAAGATTCTAAGTACTTGGCTGTATTTTTTTAATGTTGGCAGAATTCATTGGATGTAAACAGAGGACTGTAGGGTGCTAGAAAAACCCAGCTTAAATTTCTAAACTTAGAGCTTTTAAATCACCTTAATGTTCCAGTGAAAGTGCTTTTTGAAAATAATTTTAAAATGTGGCATTTTCAATAGTGCATGATAATAACGAGAAGTAAAAAAAACAAACAGTGAAAGTAGAGATAAATAAAAAAGTTCAGTATCAGGTTATTAAGAGATTTCATCTCTTCTCACTGGTGCTTTATGTGACAGTATGATGCACTTACTCCTCAAGAACACCTTTTCAAATACATTGTCAGTTACATTAGAATGTTTATTCTTGTAAACAACATGTAATTTTTTCAACAGGGCCAAAGTTAAATATTTGTCTTAGACCAAATATTATCTAAATTTTCCTTAAATTTGTGTTAGTTTTTTTCTTCTGCTAAACAGTCCTTTACAATAATACATATAGCATGATGAAATGTCCTGAAAGGAGACGCTGTGCATGCCTTAACAAAAGGTAATTGTTAGTGGAATTTACTGAATGCTATTTCCCTGTTTACAAAAGCAGCAGAGGTTACTAGACTCTCAGGATCAAACATAGAAATTGCATCACACGAACGAAACTGACTTGCAAATGTGGAATAGATCCAAACTAAATTGCAAATTTGTTATGTATGCTTGGTTCCCATAACCCTCTGGTGACATGGGGTCAACCTTTTTGGGGAACACCGCGATCTGCCCCAGAGGAGACAATTTGGTTTTCCCTGAGCAGTGTAACCTTGCCAACTTAGGTGTCTAGGTTTCCTTTTCACAAAAACTGCAGCTAAGAGAAGGAGAGCTTGTGTGCACTTGTGTCCTGTCACAGACATAGGAACTGGTACAATTCCAGCATCTGGCCTTAGGGCCAAAGCTTGTCATTCTTTGCAGTCAGTGACCTGCACAATATAGAATTGGAGTTCACAGCATTTTGTCTCTTAGCAATGATAAGGATTTAGGAAAGGAGCATGGTTTCGCTGAGAGTGAAAACTCAAGACTATAAAGCAGCTTATCTCAGTCTTTAAAAGAGGGAGAGAGACTACAGGAGAAAAATATCTTTGTTTTCTTAGTTCTGAGTGGGTTCTTGCTTTTGCAAAAGGTAAGTCGACTTGTCTTTCCTATTATTCATCTTAATGTAGATTTTCACTTTTTTTTCTTCTAGATAATGGTTTCATCTAGATATAGTATACATTAGGTATGTCTTTTGAAAGGTCATAATAAATGTCTCAGTACTTTAATTCATTTCTCAACAGCCCCTCACAAAAACAAATGGAAAAGATGTGGCTACTTTCCAGATGATGAGTACAGGTCTGTCCTGGAATATCAGCAGCCTGTTTTTAAGTTAGGAAGTATCTGCCATGTTAAGGACATGGACAAAATGCTCCCTTGCTTCTTTTGTGCTGCCAGTTTTTAAAAAAGGTTTCTACTCATTTTAAACTGCTACTGGATCTTCCTTGTGTGAAGAATTTTCCTAGCACAAAAACTAACATTTGTCCAACAAGTAGCAGTGTTCTATATTGAAGAATTCTCACCCCATAGGAAAGGAATCAGAGGAAGTGCTATGAATCACAGGAGGACTTCAGCTCTCTGCAAGGCAAAACCATTTTCTTTACCCTCATGACAGGAATTAAGCATTCTAGCTGTACAGCACAACTCCAGACATCTTTCTACAGGTATGCCTCTGTTCAGTTGAGGAACCAGTCACATTCATCTATACACATAAAAGTGGTTCAGCATAAACTAAGCCTTCCCAGTTATTCTGAAAAGCTGAAAGACTAAAACACTTGGTAAGTTGTCACAGTAATGGTGCTGCCTGCTGATCCAGTGCAAAGATCATACATGTTAAACTCACCTCCAGCCCCTTCCACCTCATGTGGAGGAGCAGCTTTCAGGTCAGTGCTGGCCCATTCCAGACAAGGAACTGATTACATACTAAGATGACAGTCATGGCTTTTTCTCCTCCAATACTGATACCACTGTAACTATCGATGGCAGCAGAGGAAGGACACTGTTCTGCATCACACAGTCATTAACAGGCTGTGCTGTATCACAAATCAGACATGACACTTTTTTGCCTCTCATTCCTGCCACCAAAACTGTTCCAAGAACACATTTAGTTGTTGCTCACTGCCAGTTTAAAAGTACTTATCTAGCCTTGTGATACTACTGATGTTAATCTAAATAGCTCTTTTCCCCTTCCCAGTGGGATTGTAGCAGAGCTGGGAAGTAAGCCCTCAAGCTGCCAAAAAGAAGGGCCTGGTTTATGTAATGAAAGACCTTCACAAGTACATCCAAAATGATTTGTCACTCTTTATGGCAACTTACAGATGCAAATATTAAAGGAACACATGCATAGCTACAGGGATGACTTCCAACATGAGAAAAAAACAGGGAAGTATTTCTCTGCAGGATCTATCCTGACAGGCTGGTGTTTTTCCCCCAATTTACACAACCAATATTATATCCTAATGCAGTCCAAAGCATCCAGCACTGTTCACTCCAGCTGTCTCTCAAAGGATGTGCAATCCCAGCAGGCAGGCCTGGAGATCGGCACTTCACGTGCAGCTTTTCTTCTACAGCTACAATCTGGGCAGCTTTTAAACAGAATGTCTTCTCTTACTTCTGAACCCCCCAGAACAGTATCATCTCCATTTTTCAGCAGAGTCACAAAGCACACTCCCATTTTGCAGTCTGTTGTCTTAACTCTATCAATTTGAAGTCTATTGACCTTTATAGCTACCAAGAGCTTTGTTTGTGTGGCTGTTGGCTACTAAGTTGATGCAAATTTGTCCTTCCTTAATGACTGTACAGCCACACTTCAAGCTTTGTGACTCAAGGCAGTGGAATATTTCTGAGAGACACTGGGGTACAACACATCTCTACATCTCACCTGAAGTGAAGTCTTCCCAGCTATTTCCAAATGGTTTATAAACAGGTTTAAAGATGAAGTGTATTTAAATAGTCACTGCATACATACTGTAAAATATAGGAACTTCCACGTTTTCCTGTGTTTCAGATGGGAAGATAACTGGTATTTTTAAAATACTCGCTTTTCATTTTAATATTTTCAGCTTTAAAATGAAATAATTACCTGTTGCTCCTCCAGCATTAGCTTTTCAGACACCAATATAAGACTAAAGACCTTTTAAAGGGTTAACTTCCCCATATTAAAACACAATAGGAAAAATGTAAACACCTTATTACAAAAGTATTAAAAACAGAAAGAAAAAAAAAGTTTATTTCCAGAAATACAAAACATCTATTCTCTCATTTCTCCATCTTCTTCCTCTTCTTCCACACCTCTGATGTACAAAACATTATTGCACCTGTAAAGAGACCAAGAGTTCTATTAGTTCTTAGCTGTAAATGTTATCATTTTCCCCACATAAGATGCTTTAAGCATTTTCCTGCTCGTGTGTAGCCTGGCAGCAGCCAAATTCTGCATAACACATTGCTGCTGTTGGCCTTGTACAGGTTTTCCACAAAGTTCATTACAATTGTGAACCCTTATAAAAGTAGTAACTGGTTGACAAAGCTGCACAAAAAAATTTTTACTTCTGGGTCAGCAGTTATGGTCAAGTTTAACTTCCAAGCATGTGAAATGTTTTCAGGTGGAACGCACTAGTGTACAACGCCAAAGGATTAACAGATACACAGTAACACAGAAAACTAAAGCTTTACCCACCAAAAAAGGGATAGTAAATACTTTATGAAATATATTCAAAAGTTCCATTTTTCCTCCCCTCAAAAGGGACCTCAACATAAAAGACACACATTCATAGCCCTACTGTAAGACCTACACTTAGCCTCTTAGTTAGACAAGAAATACAACACCCACCCGTACAAGTTTTAATACAAGTGGTAAGAAGATTTAGAAAGAGCCTGCCTCCATCATAAATAAATACCCCAATTACCTTATCAAAACTTCACCCAGGTGTCCAGACAACGCACCGTCTATGTATTCCTCTGTGTTTGCGAGCTTGAGAGAGAAATGAGCAAAAATGAGACTGTAATAAAAGCAGCTTCACAAAGCACACATCGGCCCCGCCCCAGCCCAGTGCTCACTACAGCGGCCGGGGCAGCCGAGCGGCCCCGCAATCCCGCCGAGGCACCGCCAGTCCCCGCACTACAGAAGGGTTTGGGCGGGAAGGGACCCCAAAGATCACGGCGTTCCACTGCCTTGCCGCGGGCAGGGGCACCTCTCACTAGACCAAGTTGCTCAAAGCCCCGTCCAACTTGGACTTGAGCACTTCCAGGGACGAGGCATCCACAACTTCTCCGGGCAACCTGTTCTGATTGGCAACCTGTTCTCATTTCAGCGCCCCAGGGCCGAGCCCTGGCGCCACCCCCGCCCGAGGCACCTCACAGGGGATACCCCGGCACTCACCTGCATGTTCATGTAGCCGTCCACGGAGACGAGGTAGCCCTTGTACTCCATTCCCCACTTCAGCTTCACCATCACCGGCTTCCCCGTCAGCCCGTTCAGGAACGGCTTGGGGTTCAGGGGCAGGCTCTGCAGGGGAAGCACATGGTCAGCGCCTCCCGGCTCCCGCGCCTCCCGCCGCCCTGCCGCGCACCCCCCGTTGCCTTTACCATGTCGGGAGAAGCGCAGGCCCACGCAGGAACCCCTCGTGCGCTCCGCGGGACAACAGCAGGGGATGGGATGGGAAGCAACTCCCCTCCCGCTTCCCGTTCCGGGGGCGCCGCTCTCCCACCCCCGACCTCTCACACGCCACGGCAAAGGCGGCGCTGCCCATTGGCTCGGCGCTGCCGCGGGCCTCTCTCATTGGCCAGAATGCCGGGCTACCCCGGGCCCCAACCAATCGCGGTTGGCGCAAGACGGCGGGCGCCTGGTGTGGGGGGAGCGCCCGCCCCGGGTCCGGGTGTCCGTCCGTGTGCTGGTCCGTGTGCTCGTCCGTGTCACTGTCCTGCCTCTCAGGGGCACCTCTCGGCACAGCGGGCTTTTGCTCCTCTGCGCAGGCCGATCCCCACGAGGTGGCAGCACCCGGCCCGTGCCGTGGCCGTGGCGCAGGACGGGGGAGCTCTGACACGCTCTCCCGTGGTACCCGCCAGCCCGGCGGGCCCTGGAAGCTTCGTGGCGTCAGCCCGTGTATGAGAATGAACCTGCGGACTAGCACGTGTTCGTGACTCCACATGCATGGATAGAAACCCTCAGAGTTTATAAGACACATAGATGCGAGTTCTCTGTCAGTGTCATTTCACTCCCGGGCAAAGAAGTTGCTGGAGCTTTTCTTGGCTGTGGAGGTCATCAGCCTATTCACACTCGTGAAACGCCAGTCCTGTACTAGCAAGATTTGTGACTCTTAACCTTTGACAGGCAAACATGTTGAACCAACTTCCATACCACTTACTAATTTGTCACGCGAATGCTTTCTACTACTCTGTATCTAAATTCATCAAATGCCATAATACATACAGCATATTCCTATAGTCTTTAATGTAGTTTTTGCTGAATGAGGAACTAATCTTTCTGTAACAAAACTACGTTTTTTGTGCACTTTACCTTCCAAAGGTCAGTCAAGTGCCCTACTGTTGAAACCAAAGCCATCATCACCTTTTAAATCTGCACGTTTAAAGCTGTTGACTCAACAGCCTATCTTTCTTAGGTCCAGAAGGTCATGCATAGTGGCACCATGCATGTGTTGTGGATGAGTAGAAGTGAAACAGCTGGAACTGTAATTCCTGTTAACTAGCGTATATCAAAAGTGCACTCACAGAATCACAGAATTGTTAGGGTTGGAAGGGACCTCTGGAGATCCTCCAGTCCAACCCCCCTGCCGAGGCAGGGTCACCTAGAGCAGGTGACACAGGAACATGTCCAGGTGGATTTTGAAGGTCTCCAGAGAGGCAGACTCCAAAACCTCCCTGGGCAGCCTGTTCCAGTGCTCTGCCACTCTGAGTGTAAAGAAGTGCCTCCTCATGTTGAGGTGAAACTGCTTGTGAAAATACTCAGGTACTTGTTTCCATGATCATTAGAAATTAGTGTGATTTTCTTTTAGGGTGTGGTGGATGGGCAACAGAAACAACATCAAAATTAGGCTAATTGTCTTTCTGGTAGCAGGACTCACTATGGGCCAGCTGAAAGAGTAACTAAGTTACAAGATTTTTTTAAGGAAGTCTATTGAGACTAGGTAGGAAAAGTATGAACACAATGGGAAATGGTGTATATATAGCAAAATTTGTCATTCCATTTGGAGTAGAGAATAGCTGATTTCATGTAACGTGTATAATGTGGCAGAATTCAATGAGCTTAAAGGGAGTGTCTTGAATAAAATCATATAGTGGGAGCAACTTTTGCACTGTTCTGACAATTACCAAGGATAAACATGTATCTATGGATGTCAATATAACAGCACTTCTTATTTTTACATATGGAACGAATTTTGATCACAATGTCTCCTACTCATGTTGGGAAAACTTTTTGTGTACCAAAAAATACAGGAGCAGTTATATTCAGTTTTTAATACACTCTGTTCCTCTGACAGATGAATAAATATTCCAGCCCTGTAATTATAAAAACAAATTTCCCAGGATCATAGATACCAGTGTAGAAGTCAGAGAGCAAGAGTGCTTGACTTCTAGTTTCATAATTGGTACATGAATTCATGTGTCAGTAATCTCATCAGCTGCAATTTCGTGTAGTGGTAGGGTAGGAAGGAGTACCGAAAGCACAGAATGCATGACTACATCTGATGTAGTTAACTGAATAACTCAGTTAATCAGGAAACAAAATAGCTGGTGTTTTTCTTTCTCCCTTGTGAGGAATTTGCTGTTTACCTTATTGACTGAATCATCCTGACTCAGAGACAATTTTCATATGCTGGCTGTCTCCTGACCTTCAGCACAGGGCTGAAATTCACCTTTTGTCCTCTTTGTATTTCCCCATGTAATAGGGGAAGTAATCATTTGCATTCTTTTCTGCCTTTGGGTCAGGGTATTTAGGCTGCTGCTCAACAGGAAATGAACAGGAAAGAGTTGTTGTCATAGATTAATCCAAACCTTAGCTTTTGGGTGGGTGGATAGGATTTTCTCTTACAGCTCAGGAGTGGGAATTTAGCACAACTGCCTACTCTCTGTTCCTAAGGAAACACATTAAGCAGCTGAATATCCAAGGGCAGCAGCATTTCTGGTGGAGGGATTTGTTAAATTGTGTTATCTGTGTAAGTGCAATTGCTCACTGACATCATTAACACACTGTGTCGCCATAGTGCCAGGCAGAGAGGGGAGCCCCTCACATCGCTGAGAGAAAGCTGAGCTGCCCAGAACTCTTTCCTGATTGAGCCAAGTTTGCTGAGACGGGAACTCCCTGCAATGACCGCCTTCTGCCTGCCATAAACACATTTATTAAGGAAACTGTCAGAGCTGCCCCATGTTCCAGCTTCTGGGCTGCACATTTAGTGACCATCCCACGCCTTTTCCTAGCAATATGCCAGTGTAAATGGGGTTTTCCTCCACTGCACTCTTATTCCACATCAAATGAGCTACTTGTGGTACCACACAGTCATTTCCACCAGAGTAGTAACAGCATCAACTTTGCCACCACCACACCAAAGACACCATGTCATGGGCACCAGTTGCAATCAGAGAACTTAAAGCAGCCATGAAGCCACAGCCCTGAATTAGGAGTGGGCAGAGCTGAGTTAACAGAAAGGAAGCTTCACTAGGAGACAGTACCTTCAAAGGACAGGTTTACATCAAAAGAGCTCCAGTGTAGCAGCACGGAGTTAGCCCTGCTCTGCAGCAGATGAACCTCAGCTTCTGGTTCTGTTGGGTTCACAATTGACAAAGCCTTGTAAGAACTTGCTGCTCTCACAATACAAACCTGTGCTGGGTGAAGATGTACCACCCTCCTTCCTGCACCTTGCCAGATTCCCAGACCAAGTCTGGTTCTTGAAAATATTAGGTGATATGGTACCTCGATCTAAGACAAGCAGTTTTTAAGTAGCCTTATGCAGACTAGGAGTTCATTTCTGACAAGCTCTCTGTTGTAACGACTTGAGGATGCAGTGACTATTAGTCTCACGGACCTAGAAGGGTTTTGAAGCTCTGTGCCAACTCCTTGGGAAGTTTTGCTGCTGTAGCAATGATGTTTAAATGTGAAGAGGATCTAGAACTCAGGCCAAGTCTTGCCACGAAATAAATTTATTTTTCTTTCAGCAATAGGCATAATGGAAGACTTGCCTTTAAAAATTGTACTGGAATGGAAAACTTACTCTTGCTCACAATTTGTCTGTAGAAAGTATCTTGTTTAAAAATCTTTTTTTTTTTGTATGCACGAAAAACCTGTATCATTTATCACCTCTTGGTGACTGGGGAAGTGCTGTAGCAGTATTGTGTGGATTGTCTACAGCCCTCACATGAGTTATAATCCTGACTTTTTGGGGCTTTGCCACAACAAGTTTCACTTCAAACAGTGCTTTTTCAGAGATCTCTGCCAGTGAAACACCTTTCCTCTCTGCTGATGATTTGTCATTTTAATAACATCATCTTTGATCAAATCTCCATGAATGAGGCAACAGCTATCCACCACAGGCCTTCACCATGGATCACGACTGGGAACCAGTAGGTAATGACATCAAGCTTCAGAAGAACAGCGATCTAATTTGTCTCTGAGTTCCTCATCAACCAAACCAAAGCCAAGCTGTGCTGCAGGGGTGGATATACACAATCCAAGTCCTAGGAAGCACAAAGCTGGATAGCCTATTTCAGGTTTGATCCAAGTAACATGTGTCTTTCCACATGCTGCCAAATTTTCATCTCAGTATAAGACTGTAGCATAGAATAGATGCTCGGTCTTGCTGAACAACATTTGGAAACAGCTGAAGGGAAGAGCATGGGGGAAATACAAAAACCAAGAGACTTGCCATTGGCCCTGCATGCCTGGCAGTGGCTGGCAAATAGTAATGTGACAAAACACAACATGCAAAAGTCTGTTTGGGCTGGACTTGCCCAGTGAGCAGACCATGCTGTGAAAGACTCAGGGGGCAGGAGGCAGAGGTGAGCCTGGGAAGAAAGAAATGGAGGGTTTATTCTTGGGTAGAAGATTTATGTGTAGTTTCATCAGTACTATGGTTTTTTCTGCAGTGATGTCAGTATGAAATGAGATTGAGGGTGTGTGAGTGGGGGCAGGTATATGCTAACAAAGCCCAGATCTTTTGTCCACTCCCCCAGAGGTTTGCTAGAGTGGGCAAAAGATCTGAACTTTGTTAGCATATACATTTATGAACCCGTCACAAGGCTGGACTGTGTGAACAAGAAGGGGCATGGGGTTGGTATTGTACAAAAATTATGGGAACATTAAAGCCTCCTTTTATTCATATTGAAAACCTTTATTTATTTGTGCAAATAGTGTTCATGCAAATTATGCAGCTACACTAAAGAGAGGCCCTTTAAGAATGTGTCTCTGAAAACACAGGCTCCTTTGCCAGGAAATAATGGGACTTCCTTAATTATCAGCTGTTATCTTCTGCGTTTGGCAAACTTTTGTTGCTTTATGTGCGGTTGCTTCTTTTATGCTTTGACATTAATGAATTGGAATTGAAATTATGTGCTGAGGAAAACAAAGTGATCTGTATAAATAATAAAATGGTGTTCTTGTGTGTGTCAAAAAGGGGAAGATAAGTATTATGCAGAAGGAATTTGGAAACTGTGCTTTCACACAAACATCTTAATAGAAACTAATAACTGGCTCCAAATCACAGAAGTGCT